AGCCTGGCAATCGCTACAACCTCCAGCTCATCAATGCACTGGTGCTCTATGTAGGGACTCAGGCCATCGCACACATCCACAATAAGGGCAGCACGCCTTCAATGAGCACCATTACCCACTCAGCACACATGGACATCTTCCAAAACCTGGCTGTGGACTTAGACACTGAAGGTGAGTGAAGCTGGCTAGTCTTCATTATTAAATTCTGTGAACGAAAAGTGTGAAAAAATTGTCCAAAATCTTGCCGTGTGAGTTAATATTTTAGTATACCCAATTACAATGTTTTAGTCTAAAAATGTTCTTTTTTATAGCCTACAACATAGCCTCATGATATGTACAATATAGACTCATAATGCAGTTTCATTTTGTAGTATTATTATGTATTTTAAACCTGCCCTTTGTAGTGTTTATTAGTGTCTACTTCCCAGGCAACAGGGAAGGTTTATAAACATCAGTGGCTGGAACTTTGCTGTTTATTGCAGAAAGTATGCATTATGACTCAGTGTAGTTTGTCTCTTTCCTGGCTGAGCTGCATTTCTTTCGGTGTTTAGTATTCATTATCTGCTAGGTGCTAACTAGCTATTTACTTCTGCCCATTTTTGCAGTATATGTTAGAAGGACTGTTACTTTTAACTTTGCTATAGATCTTTTGGAAGCTTTTTTTTTTAAAATAAATATTTTAAGCCGGACGTGGTAGCACACACCTTTAATCCCAGCACTTGGGAGGCAGAGGCAGGCGGATATCTATGAGTTTGAGGCCAGCCTGGTCTACAGAGCTAGTTCTAGGCCAGCTGGGGCTACAGGGAGACCCTGACTCAAAAAGACCAAAAATAAATAATTCTATGTGTATGAATGTGTTGCTTGCATGTATTTAAGTGTACCCATGTTGTACAGTGCCCAAAGAGGTCAGAAGAGAGCATCGGATCCTTTGGAACTGGAATTAATTGTTAGCCACCATGTGGGTGCTGGGAATTTAACTCAGGACCTCTGCAAGAGCAGCTGTGATGCTGAGCCATCTCTCCAGCCCTGACTTTGATCTTGAAAGGCTAATTAATCTTGAAACTCAAACTGTTTGCTTATTTTCAAAAGGTATTTGAGCTTTAAAATCAAGGTTCAACAAAATTGAGTATTGTTCCAACCAGATCTCAGCAATAAAAGAAAGGTAGCCTTTAGGGAAGTGTTTAAGGGCCACTAAGCACAAGTAGAAGCAGACAACCAAACTCGGCTGAGATTATAAACCAAAAACAGTGGTATACACCTATAATCTCAGCAGCTCAGGACGCTGAGGCAGGAAGATTCTGGGTTTGATTCTTTCCCTCCCCCATTTATTCTAGTATATACTTATACTCTTGGTTCTCAAAGTATGGTCTGAGGATCTTCTAGGGCATCTAGGTCAAGACCTTTTAAGATGAAGGTCTCCACAAGTATACAAAGGAATTTTCCAAGTACGACATGAAATAGAATATTTCAGCTGATTGAGTGTTGAGACAGAATATAAAACCAGTCTCTACTAGGGTGACATTAGATTAAGATCTGTAGAATGTACTGGCTCTTCACATTTTTTTTGGCAAAATATTTTCATTTACATGTACTTTTACTAATAAAATATTTTCATTTGCATGTATTTTTAAAAATTTTATTTCCTGGGGCTGAGAGATGATGGCTCAGCAGTTGAGAGCACTGACTGCTCTTGCAGAGGACCCAGGTTCTCAGCACCCACATGGCAGCTACAAACCTTAACTCCAGTTCCAGGGTAGTCTGAGGCCCTCTTCTGACCTCTGCGGCATTGCGTGACACCAGTGTGCTCACATACATGGAGGCAATATACTCATACACATGGAATAAAAATAATAGACTATTAAAAAAACTTTTATTTCTTAATGTGGAAAGTATTTGCTAATGAAACCCATAGAATCAAACACTTTGGGATCCAGAGAACCACTAGAAATCACAGAGGGACCTTATTGTCTTTTTCAGAAACCCAAAGCCTAGACAGAACTGTCATCTCCCATGCTGGCCTTTCAAAACCTCCCCTAAATCTAGTTTTTCATTAATTTCTAGGTCGGTATCTCTTCTTAAATGCAATTGCAAATCAGCTGCGGTACCCAAACAGCCACACTCACTACTTCAGCTGCACCATGCTGTACCTTTTTGCCGAGGCCAACACTGAAGCGATCCAGGAGCAGATCACAAGGTAAGAGAGTTTATTATTGAGAGCCTTTAGAACAGACATCCCACCCCCACCCTGTAATTGAATTGAGTTGTATGCATTCCACATTGGGGTTTCAAACCATACATAAGATTGTTAGTTTTTTTGTTTTTTTTTTAACATAAAGTCACAAAAAGACTGAAAACAAAGACTAAAAGAGAAACTAAAAAAAACAGTGTTGAACAGTTTGTTTTGCAGTGGTAGTTTACAGTAAAAGTAACATTTTTGAGTTTTTTGATGGTGGCAGTGGCAACAGCATTTGTATCCAGAATCTTGAATAATATAGACCTATATATGGTTAATGATTTTATACTTTTAAGGCTTTAAGCATGAGAGATAACTATGGTCAATTTTCTGTTACCTTGACTATATTATATATAGGATTGGAAATTGGAGCATAGGTAGGTAGTCCAATGAAATACACACCTTAAAGACTTTTAAGACCTATATGTTCACCTAAATAGTACCTGTGGTTCCTTATCTACACAAAACCTAATTGATTTTATTGGATGCTTAGATGACAGCACAGTTGTGATGTGTAAAGCTACAGCAAAGGCTTCTTGTCCTTAATCTTTCTTGTTTCACTGTTCCTGGGTGCCAAAGTTAGAATTGCAAGTAGCAGGTCAAAGATAGGAATATTTAAGCCAGCATTTATGCAAGTGTAGGAAAAAAATCTCACTAATGTACATGTGCACACGTTAGAATTTTTTTTTTGTCTTTTTGAGACAGGGTTTCCCTGTAGCCCCAGCTGTCCTGGAACTCACTATGTAGACCAGGCTGGC